TTTTTTTTTTTTTTTTTTTTTTTTTTTTTGCTCAGTCGAGGAAATGGGGGGCTATGGGATAAGGTATTAATAGAAGGGAAGAGAGAGAAAAATGGGAAATTTTTTAAGATCAGCGCATTCCTTTTTCAAAGGCTTTAAAAAGAATGTATTTGTGCTGTGACCGAGTCGGCAATGGCGGACTTGTTCTTTATTTCTTTATTTTCCTTTTTTTTACCTTATTTAAAAATTTTAAAAAATGTCTCTTCAAATTGGTTCAATTCCCCGAGGGAGAGACATGGAAAATTCAAATTCCATTGATTTTAAATTCAAAAAATAAAAAATAAAAAAAGACAAAATTAATGGATAAGCGTATTTTATTCTTAAAATTAAGAGGTTAAAACTAAAATTAAGACCGGTAATTTTATGTTGTGTCCTTTGAGGTTAAAATCAAACAGCACAATTGGAATGTTTTTGAAGTTGTCTTGTTTCTCCAAGTACACTGTCCTCTCTGCCTTTTTTTCACCTGCAAACGTGGTAAAATCCTATTTTTTTACTGTTTACCACATTTTTTCTTCCTTTTTTTCACACTGAACTAGTCAGTTGACCATGATGTTTTGGGAGAAAGATGCAAAAAAAATAAAAAAAAATGTATATTTTTTATGAACTTTAGGGTGAAGCCATGATAGGGGATGGGCTCTGGGCCAAGAGCCTGTTTTCCTCTCATTTGATTGGAAAAAATAGCTTTTTAGATGAACTCAATAGAAGTGGAAGTTTTTGGTTCACAAACTTTGTGCGGTCGTGAAGTTATATCATATCCGAACGATCTACGTTTATGATCTCATATATTTTGCTTTTCAAATATAAAATTTTAAAACACTTTTGAAATATTATGGGTATTTTAAGTAATTTAATCTAGACCCGTTAAACTATATTTGTATAAACGCTTTAAATATCTGGTTTTCTTTGAAAAAAAACGAGTGAAATTATGTTAGAAACTACGGTCTAATTCTAGCAACTAAAACCCATGAAGAGTTTGGTGGTTTTTCTTGCAGCCGCCGCGGCCACCCCCACCAAAAGCCATCCCATAGAATGAGAAGAATTAGAAACTTGACTGCAAAATTAACCCTTGTTGGGGGTCACCCACGCATTCAAAAATGGACAGAACAAGGCTGTCTCCAATGCATATTTGACCAAGGAAAAAGAAAACAAGTCATTTAAGCAAAACCATTATTCCCCATTTGGAATAACCACAATTCATATATATCCAAACCCAATCCTATCATAAACAGTTTCCAAGTTGAATCACTCAAAAGGGAAAATGGGATGGCGTGATGGACGCACACATAGCCAAGAGGCCGTCACTTTCTCACAGGCATTTCATCGAACAGTTGGAAGGCAAGGAGACATCTTTTTTTTAGTGCCCTTAGACTCCCACTCTTCACTTCATGACCCCAATTTAACCAATCTCTCTTTTTTCATATCCACTCTAAAATAAACTAAAATCGATCGATCATATAGTTTCTTTTTCATTTTTCAAAAGCCGGAGTTCCCAAATTGGATTGAAATTTTAAATTTTAAAAACATGACGGTGACGAAAAATAATGTGACGATAATCTTGATTTTCGTTCAACGTTCTAACGAAGAAAGAACCGAAAGTGATCCACGTGACACAAAGGGAAGAAAATTAAACGGCATTCTGACCAGCAAGTTTTTGGCACTTGGTGCGTCACTTTGTTGCCCGTTTTGCGCCATGGGATTCACAGCCATTTTTCCCTAAACGCTATTCTTTTGCTTAATTTCTTGACTTGTAATTTGTATTTTCTTCCCTTTTCTATTCCCTTTTTTCCATTTCTATTTGAATTATGTAATTTATTAGCCATTCTCTGTACTTAGCTCGCATTTAGGCAGCAGGTTCGCGCATGAACAACTCTTGGGATCGATAAGCTAACTAATTTTGGTTGGTACTAACGATGATGTAATAATATTAAACTCATATCAGTAAATCACTTTCTTTTTTTTTAATGTGCTTCGATTATTGACGTGTTTGCTTTGTTCTAGATAATAATTAGCATTTATCTTCCTAATTCAAAGATTCCCGTCGACTAAATTGTATTAAAATAATTTTTTAAAGGGTTATTTTGAATAAGACTCAATGGAATCCTATACTTTACTTCAAACTTTTGAAATTATGTTTCCTTTTATGACGGAAGGTACATTTCAAATTATCATGGTGATGTAAAGATCGAGCCATCGTTTTGTTTTTAAACTAGGCTAGTTCGAGCCAGATAAACTTTTATTAAAATATTGAAGCAAGAACATGTGTTTTTATTACTGATAAATTGTTCAAATAACAATAAGGTATAACAGAGTCAGAACACAACGAATCTCTTTATAATAAACATATTCATTTCACAAGTTTGTTTTATTTACGGATACCAATAAAATATCGAACATTTAAGCTATTGTCATAATAAATATTATTTTATGGATATCATTGTTATTTATTTCCATACTTTGAAACTTTAGGATATGAGTATAAACTATGCTACAATAATATTAATTATTAAAGTATATATATATATATATATATATATATATATAGGATTGGGACAAAGGAATGTTTGGGCTTACTACAAAAGGACACTGTCGAAAAGGGGCTTATTATGGCAAAATTAAGAAACCAAAGAGGGCTTGATTCTTATTGGGTAGATGGTGGGTGGGTCCCACAGATGACATTGGAAGTGGAGCCCACGTGGGATATTTTAATGGTGATGATGGGCTTAGCTAGTTGGATGTGTGGTGATCATGGAGGCACATGATCCAGCTGCCTAACTCTGCTGTTTATGACTCATTCAGGGCCTTCTATGTTCGACTCCTGTCTAGGTTTTTTTTTTTTTTTTTTTAAATTAAAAATTAAATATAAAAAAAACCACCATTTTTTTTAATTATTTTTAATTATGGGTTGTTAAGATAATTTTAATTTTGCATCTCCTATAGGAAACTGTGACAAATATGCAAATATCCATCTACAAAATAAATTTTAAAAAATTGTTACTTGGTAATTACTCGACGTATTTCAATTTTTTAAATAAGTAATAATTGATTTTTTAAATAAAAATTGGATTATCTAATTCTTAAAATAAATATATAATATTTTAATTAGTCGAGTTAAAGATTTTTTTATAAAATATAAAAACCTTATTAGGATTTTAATTACTACTATTCTCCTTAATTCAGGTGGGGGAAAAAAGTATATGAACACGTGGCAATACCCCAGGACGTGGGAAACGTTTCTATCCTTTTCTTTAAGAGAAAAAAAAGATCAATATTTTTTACTCTTAAATTAGAAAAAAAAAAAAGTAGTGAAAAAATGTATCATATTTGACCTTTTTTTCATTTAATTTTTTAAAAAGTATATATATATATAATAAAATATAGTATGATACAAAAACGATTAAAAAATGACATCATATTATTAAATTAACGAGTTTAAATAGATTTTTAGATTTCTTTTTGTCAAACCACTCAACTTTACTTTTAAGATTATTATGAAAATTAAGAATATTTGAATTTGGATTGTCATTGATAAATGTTTAATATTTGAGTTTAACGAGATTTTAGTAATTCATGTAACATACGATAGATAAGTATACTTTTTAAATAATTAAAAAAATTAATCCAATAACTCGACACGACCCAACCCAACCCAAAAATAGAGAATATGACTGTGGATTCTATTTAGATTATTGAGGTCACCCATCTAACCCATCCCAAATTTGGAGTGGGTCCAAAATATTATCTGGACCTAACAGATGTATACCCTAATATTTATGGATATTTGAAAGTGCTTTCGTATAAATAAATAAATAAATAAAAAAAAAAGTTTGGTTAAACTCACTGATTTTAATACGAAATCTGTTAATCATTATTAACACATGCTGTAATGTAATGTAATTAAAATCAGATTTTAGTTGTATAATGAAGCAGCTTTAAAACAAAACAAGGGAATCAGAGTAGCCAATCCGAATGCAGCCTGGGATTGCTTTATTTTAAATAACCCAAAACCCTAAAAACAATACATTTGCACGTGATACATCAGATCCTTCACGCACCCAACCCAATGCCAAACCCAAAGCCAGCTATTCACACAGCTCATCTTCACTTCTAGAGAACTCACCCACCAAAATAATAATAATAATAATAATAATAAATAATAAAAGAGCGATCGAGCGTTGGAACGTATAATGAGATTTTCAATATGATTAATGTTTATTAAGTAATGAATTCAACCTAAGTTCATAACCCAATCAAAACTGTATGGGGTTAGTCTAGATTGGGTTGGTTTGGTTTTTCGAGTCATCAGGATTTTTTAACACTCCTAGAATGAACTAATCAAGCACGATATAAGAAGAGCTGTCGGAGGTCCTCAAAAACAACAATGACAATGTCCTCGCCGAGATACAATGGTTTGGTTCGAGCGTTAAACACATGACTTTTGAGAATGTTTTAGGAGTTTGTTTATTGTTGTTTAAGGTTTGTGTTTTTGTTTGGGAATAAACGGAAAGAGAGAGGCATATGGCACGTGGGGGGGCAGATCTCTGCACATGGATATGTAAGCACACAATGCTGTGAGCCATTAGTCCCAAAAAGAAGAAAAAAAGAAGTTGAGTTCTGAGTTTAATTTGGTCCTTTTTTGTTGGATTCTCTAATTAAAACTTTGTTCTTTGTGTTGTGTTATTCCTTTATGGGAATCTGTTTTGTGAAATGTGTGAAGAATTCCAAAAAATGGGTCATTTTAGTTTTTCGTTTTTTTAAATGGGTCCATTTATTCCGACACGATTCAATGGAAAAAGACATTTATACCCCTCCAATTCCGAAATTCAAAACTCCCACTTTTCCTTTTCATCGTAGGTCTCCTTCATCTTCTTAAGGTCAGAAAGCGACTCTATGCACCCCATACCAGATTAGTTCGATCGAAAGTTATAAAACTAGTTGAAAAACTCGATATTCAATAATGTAGAATGAAAGACCGTCTTTGTACATAAAACCAAGCCTTGGTTCAAGAATTTGTTAACTTTGTCCCATTGGACGAACGATAAGGTATATCACTGTCCTATTACAATAAATTTGAAAAGATAAAATGAGATGAACAGTAGATAACAAACTCCCATTTTACACAAGGTAAAATGAGATGAACAGTAAATACCTTCACAATAAATGTCTTGTTCAATGTGAAAAAGACATTTATACCCCTCTGATTCCGAAATTCAAAACTCCCACTTTTCCTTTTCGTCGTAGGTCTCCTTCATCTTCTTAAGGTAAGAAAACAACTCTATGCATCCCATACCAGATTAGTTCGATCGAAACAACTCGATATTCAATAATGTAGAGCGAAAGACGGTCTTTATATAGAAAACCAAGCCTCGGTTCAAGAATTTGTTAACTTTGTCCTATTAGACGAACGATAAGATATATCACTGTCCTGTTACTATAAATTTGAAAAGATAAAATGAGATGAACTTCTGTTTTGAAATGTGGTGTCGGATTATTTGATGTTAATGGATATATAATGATAACGTTTAAAATTTAGTTTCCAATAAAAGCATGATAATTAAGCAATTAAAAATATTCCACATGGGTACTCTTACTTACAAGTAATACAAATAATGATGATTAAATTATTTTGACACCAACGATTAACTCATTTAATAGCCCAACCAATAACTCCATTAACCTAATCATGCTTTTTTAAATAATTAACAACAAATTCACAAATTCTAGTGGAACCCATTTTCCCTTCAAATAAAAGATAAATAAATAACTAAATGGATGGTTAATTTTAAAATAAATAAATAAAAATTTGAATAAATGACCCGAACAATTTGAACTAATAAGAAGTCTGACTCAACTCGACCCAACCTACAAATCCCACTAATTTTTTTACCATCATTGTTGTCGATTTCCATTTAAAGAATTAACGGTCGGATCTCGCTCTAAAAAAAATTAAAAAATAGAAAAAGTTTAAGGAAGGTAATGGAAAATAGATTTTCCAATAAAAATAGAAGATTGCACACAAAAAACCCCACATTAGCTATTTGATGAAATAGTTTCTCAAACCCTTGTTGACCACAATCATTGGTGGTTTATTTACATGCCCATTAACATTAACCCTAATCACTTAAATAAAGTCTTTCAAAAAAAGAAAAAAAAACAATCTAATGATTATAAATATTAAATTGGCGTTTTTGTACCTTTTTCTTAATTAAAAAATGGGTCAAATGCTCAAAAAAGAGGTAAAATTGGAGGAGAAAAAAAAAAAGTCAAAAAGGCAAAAAAAAAAAAAAAAAACACACCCATTATCGCCACTAGACAAGATATAAAACATTATCTTAAGTTGACATTACGAGAGTGAGGGTAATATAATTTCTACAACCTAATTTTATTGAATGATTACCGATGAATTCATATGATTTTAGGTCAACTTTTCGTACACCCACAATGTTTGGAGGGGAAATTCTCTTGCAAACACTGAACTTAAACCCTAATTTGCGTGCATCATTCGGTCTAGTTGGAAAAACTTGAGAAATTAGTCAAAAACAAAAAATTACATGATTGTTTGACCTAATAGCTCGTAACACAACTTTTAAAATGAGAAAAATCGAGATCTCGTTTAATAACTATTTAATTTTTTATTTATTAAAATTTTTCTTAATTAAATTCCAAAAATAAAAATCAATTTCAAATATTTTTGTACTTTTTTAAATAAATTAAATCCACTTATTACTTTTAATAAATAAATACGTTCATGGTATAAAAAATAATTAAATAATTAAATAATTTTTTTAATGTATTATAAATAAGCCACATAAAAAAAAAGTAAATGGATTGTTCTATTTATTGACGCGGAGTCAAATTCTTTGAAAGGTCTTTGTTACTCTCTTTTGGTTAACCTAATTTCAAAGAGAAAATGATGAAATCTCCATTGACCACCTCACAATGTTTTGATAGTGAAATGTAATGTAAGCTTCACTTAATTAAATTGTTAGCTTTTTTTTTTTTTTTTTTAATTCTTTTTTTTAGGTCAACCGATATCAAATTATTAACTTTTAGAATAACAGTTGATGTCTTACCTATTGAGTTATGTTTGAATTGATATCTTATCTACTAGCTATGCTTGTTGAACTATGCACGAACTGATATCTTAACCACTAAGCTATGTTTGGTTTGACATCTTATCTACAGAACGATGCTCAAATTGATACCTTATTCTTCAAAAATCCGTTCTCAGTTCAATCGTGGACTGTAACTTATTTACATGAAATAAGAATCGCCAGTAATCTATAGTCAACCATGGAAATGACGGACCAGACATTGTAACCTGATCGTTATTGGAGTCATCATTTTCGCCTCGCCTTACCTCTTTCTACCAACGCTGACTGTTCGAAAATATAATATGAAGTTATTGCATAAAGATTGTGTTTCCCACACACCCAAACCTAATTTTTTTTTTTTTTGAAGAAATAAAAGAAAAAAAAGCATATGGGAACAAAGTGGTGGGTCAATTTGAAATATAATGATTGCTAAAATCCTCAAAAGTGATACTAATTGAATATATTTTAATGGTATATGGATTTGAAAATGTTGTATTTTGAAATGAGGCAAATCCCATGTGGAGTTGGCCACACAAATCTCTAGGATTTTGTTTTGTTTGGATTCTCATGATGTTTCAATATTTTGTTGAGTAAACAAATTTTATTATTCTATTCTAATTTATTTTAAAAAATCAATCCCCACCATTAATATATTGCTAAATACTTTCTCGAATTAGGTTATTAAATTCATATAAACTTTTTTCAAATAAACTTTCGAGATATGAGTTAGACTCATCCGGAATAAGATAAAAAATAGAAGGGGAGCAAAGAGACATTTCTCTACATTAGCTAAATGCGATTAGAGAGTAGATTATATTATCTGTTCTCTCGTCTCCACCACAACCCACTAGGTATATTCTATTTTTTCTCATAAAATATTATTTTATTTTATTTTATTTATTAGGATGTATTATAGAATATATTGAAAAAGGAAAATTGGTTTGTTCCAAAAGATTAACTTTTTAGGGAGAAAAAGAGAAAAGAAATGGGTCCGTGGAGATCTATATATTTGTAACTTTGACATGGGCCCATACTAATTAAGCAATGGGCCCAAAGGTTTATGGGGCGATATAAAGTAAACTGTCAGGCCTAAAGCCCATTACCGGCTAGAAGATTCATTTGGGCCAATACGGTTTGAGAAATTAAGTTGGTTCACCATATTTCAGTCGGTCTGTTTTCTTTTTAATTTTCCCTTTGCACCCTAACGACAACACACAATTAGTCATGAAATCTTATAAACATGTTGCTTGAGATTTTGACAATGCCAAATCAATGATTTGGCAACGTTTGATGTTTCTATTAGGAATCACGAGTCTCTACAATGGTACGATATTGTCCACTTTGAGCATAAACTCTCGTGACTTTACTTCAAACTTCCCCAAAAGGCTTCATACTAACAGAGATGTATTCCTTTACTTATAAACAATCCTCAACAATCCTCCCCTCGAACAAAATACACTATAAGCCTCCCCTGAGGCTTATGGAGCTGTCGAGGGTCGACTCCCTTCTCTGGAGCCCTAAAACAAAGTACACCCTTTAGTCATTATTTACTACACCTTCGAGGCTCACAATTCTTTGTTCGATATTTGAGGATTCTATTGACATGACTAAGTTTAAAGCATGACTCTAATACCATTTTAAGAATCACGACTCTCCATAATAGTATGATATTGTCCACTTTGAGCATAAGCTTTCATGCCTTTGCTTTTAATTTATCCAAAAGTCCTCGTACCAATGGAAATGTATTCCTTTATCTACTATGAATTCATACACGAGGGAAAGTCCATATTGCACAAAGTAAACGGATTGTAAATTTTTCTAAAATATTACAGTGAACATTATGATTATTATCTGGGAAAACTTACAGGAGGATCCAAGCTGCCTACGAGAATCCCGAGATCGATGTCTTTATCTTCGAATTTCTTGATGAAAGGATGATTCTAGAAGCACAGAGAGAATTGTTTAAGGGTACTGTGATTGCCAGTAATAAATTATTCAAGAAATGGTTGAACAAAGGTTACAAACCAGAAGATCTAATGATGCTGATCTTTCTTTAGGGTCCTTTTTAATGCTGCCAATTGTAATGAAAATGAAATGTCAAAACTAGAATTGGACCAGGATTAAATTTTAATGAAAATGAGCATAAGGCGGCGGCGGCGGCGGCTTACCATGAGGATACGAAGGTACAGAACTCGGGGGAGAATTGATCCGGTGGAGCAGAAGGCGGCGGCTTCGCTACAATTGCCTCAAGCAGTTCATAAAAGCTTGGCCAACTTTGCTGCTCTTCAGACTGCAAATAAGGAAACCTTCCAATGGCACATTCAAGTACCACCATGCCCAAGCTCCATATATCACTGCTGTAGTCATATGTTCCGCCGCTAATTCGCTCAGGCTGAAAGGGAAAGTAAAAACCAATGTCATAAACAAAACACGGCGCATGAAAAAAATCATCCATTCAATGAATTATACATACCGACATGTAATTGTAAGTTCCCACAAATGTATCTCTCTGACCCATAGAACTAGCTAGCATTGCACTTACTCCAAAATCAGTGATTTTAACCTCCCCTTTATGGTTCACAAGTAGATTGGATGGCTTGATGTCTCTATGTATAACATGTCTCTCATGATGCAAATAAACAAGACCTTGTAGAACCTGTAATATAATAGGAGTGGGTGACTATGAGTACAAATTTGACCTTTTCATTCAGTTTTTGATTTTAATAGCAAAATCCTGAGACCTGTTTACAAACAACTGCAAGATATGGTTCCAGAATTGTTCGGACTTGTCTGACTATGTCGGCTAAAGAACCACGATCCATGTATTCTAGCACCAGAGAAATTGCACCATTATGGTAGAAAGAATGGTAACAAACCACTATATGTGGACATTGGGCTGCTTGATTTATTTTCAGTTCCTGCACGATCTGCTTACGGATATCCTCTTGTATGTTCATCTGGATCACCTGAAGTATGCAAATATTTTTCAGCAGAGTTATAGAATTTGTACTCGAGATTGTTTGAGTGAATGCAAAAGCCAAAATAGCACAAATAATAGCAGATTTTGATGAGGACTAAACGTTAGTAACAGTGATCACTAAGCATAGTAAGACCTATGCAAAATGAAATGCTTACGTCTTGGGAGTTTGGATAAAAAAACCTTTATGTATATAGATCTAAGATAACCAAAACCGAAAAGTTACCATGGCTTCAACTTCCAAACCGGATGGCATGTTAATTGTGCCACTATTTTGACAGTGGTAGTTTATTTGTAGCTTAAAGAAGACATTAAACAAATAAAATCATGAATCAACATGAAGAAATAATCATAACAATGAATAGTTATACAAATTACTCTCACCAGTCACCACTGAGCCATTGGCAGATCTTGCTTTAACCTCGTCGTTACCAAAATTCTGTTTTCTTTTTCATAGATCAAAGACATAAAACTAGCTCGTTGTCCTAAATTTTAGGTAGAACTCTCGACTTCAAAAAATTAACTTGTAAACCAAGACAAACCTCAAGGGACTTTGAATTCATTCTCGCAGAAAAATGAATGCAATAGCAATTTACTAGCACAGAAAATAGAAGGCCATAATAAAATGAAAGAACAAGATGTAAAGATTAGAAACTGTTAGCTTGCAGCAGCAGCAGCTTCTTCAACTTAAAGAAAGCCATGATAAAATGAAAGAACAAAATGTATGAATAACTTAAAGCAAAGGTACAATGACCAAAGACGGATGCAAGAGTGTAGAATTGTTCCACCAATATAACAACCTTTAAGGCGAAAAGTTTTCCAACCCATTTGTGTCGAACAAGTTGCACTACACCACCACTTCCTTTCCCGATAACATTCACAGTCTCAAGATCTTCCAATGAGAAATCGACATCAAGTTCCTTACAATCTGAAATCTGTTCAAACAAAATATGAAATAGAAGTGTTATGGCTGCACATACATCAAGATCGCTAGGTTATGCCAGTTCTTACGGTGAATCATGCATCTAATTGAATATAAACCACAAAGATAGCTAGGTTAGGCCAGTTTTTACGGATTCAGATAGCAACTTGATATACGTTAAGTTAAACATTTCAAATTAGGATGTTTGAAGTAAAACAAACTTACCTCTGCTTCTTTCTCTTCAGATATAAGCCGCAATCCTTTCTGGTTCAGTAGCAGATTGCCGTCGTGAAATGTTCCACTCGCAGTCCTGAAGTTTAACAAAACCAGAAACGCGAGCATTGGAAAACAGTCATTTGAATTTATTCAGTCAACAACAGATAAGTTCACCAAACTTCCAAATAACATTTTCTTCTCCGTATCATTCATTTCCAAGAAACTAAGAATACAATTCAGTCGATCCTCCATTGAAAAACACAGGATAACATACATTTACACAGAATCATATCGAGAGTAGCTATTAGGAAATGAAACGAAACAAACACTGAAAAAGAAAAAGTGATCGAAATTAAATCGAAAGCAAGAGAAAAATAAGTTGAACATACAGGAAAGAACGGATGGTAGTTTCTTGAACAGGCACAGAGAGCTTGAGCTGCTTCAATGGCGTCTTGATCTTCATCGTTCACCGAATATTTTCTTTATCAAATTCCTAGGGCATCAATAAGAGCAAGAGAGGAGATTGGAAGAAGACAGTGAGCGGAGAACTGTGATTGAGGTTTTTCCCCCCTTTTCTCTGTGACTGTAAGGAAAACGACGATCTGCTTCATCAAAATGAGAAGGAATAAAATACATTCAAAACAAGGAGGAGCGCGTAAATATATAGACGTTACGAGATGTAAATCGGTTCGATTTGCTTTTCTGTCAAACCATCCGAACCGAACCGTTCTGTCTAGGGGTTTTCAATCGAACCGACATCCAATAGAGAAAGCTTTCGATGCTTTTAATAAAACAAAACTTTCAATCGATTAATAATCTGAATTAGATATTAGCTGTTAATTTCAAATATATCCCTCAATGAATTTTTAAAATTTTTGTTGGTATTTAAAAGGTTTTCTATTTAGCAAAAAAAAAAAAAAAAAATAGATGTTAAATTTGGCAGGTAATGTCATGGGCAGATGGAATTTGATTAGAAATTTCTTTGTATTATTTTAATAAGTTTAATAACATGTCAAATTCTAAAACCAATAAAATAAATAGTCTGTTGTAATTTACATCTTAGCTTCCTTTTAAATAGTTTCATGTTAAGCAGAGAATAGTTGTTTTCCTTTTACGATAATCTTCTAATCTTAATTTGTTTTAATTTGTTTTATTTTTATTTTTGAAGTAAATTGATTTGCATTGCATTTCGAAAAATCATTATTCAATTTCATTTAAACTACTCTTATTAGGGTAAAAAGATAAAACATTTCTCAAATTAATTTTAGCTTAGTATCTCTAGATCCAATTGAGTTTTTTCTTATGCAATGGAAACACCTGGAAACACCTTACAATTTGAAGTCCGAGGCCTAGGAAGAAATGTTCTTGAAAAAGACAGATTGGGGACTATTTCAAATCCTTTGAGTAAAATAAGAACAACTCCCACATTCAAACTACCCCTTTTACCATAGTATCAGGAATTACCGCTTGTAGAACCTCGATATCCATGGGCTCCAGAGTCCAAAAGTAGCCATAGCAATCTGTTTGGACCTTATAACAAATGATCATCTCTAGGCAATGTGAAGTAATGCAACACCAACCCCACCACAAAATATTGCTTCAGAGATTCTTAGTCCTATTGAAAATCATCCTTCCATGCTCTAACTATAAAATCAATCCCCCTTCCTAAAAGTCCTTCATTGAACAAAGAAAAATCATTCATTCTTCGGCACCACTTTTAGACCTAAGAATGCCATTAGTCCATCCACAAAAGCACCACTTGCCTGGTTGATGTGAACAGTTAAAACCTCCACAGTTCTTGGTCGGTAGCTACCTACCACTACCTGTGGCCGTGGTGGGTTTGTGATGGTGAATATTGAGTAAATCTATGGAAATATTTGCTATTCTCAACCATCTGGTATAGTTTGCTAACCACCCTACCCTCTACCAACAGGCCGTAGGTAAAGATTAATGGAGTCACCATGGCTGGCAGCAAGCCAGCAATTATCCCGAACCATTAATGAAACAACATACCAACTATTTAGCATAATCTGCCAGAGACTGAAAAGCAACCAAACCAAGAACTGCAGAAGTAATTGGGAAGAAAAGGAAAGAAATTTATCTGGAGTGAAATGTCCCACCAGCCCACATTTGGGTTTGAGAGAAATTATATCTCCTCGTGTTATACAGGAGCCTGCTGCAAAAATCAACAGATAAAATAAAAGAGTATTTATAAATTTATGCTGAATGGTTTACCATATCCATATTTGATGCTACTACAATGGACCTCACTTGAAAACCACCACAATATTTCAAACAAAAAAGTGAAAGAGACAACACTAAAAACGAGAAACATAAGCATCACTCCTCAAGCATCAATCAAACCCATTTCCACTCATTCAAGAGTCCATAGACTTGTACACAATAGGCGGTTCCCCTGCAGCAATTAACAATCCAAAAGATTGTATCAGCAATAAGAGAAATATGGATGCTGAAAAGAAATAGGATCGATCGCATACAAAGGTAGCAAGCAAGCATACCGATATTTAAAGACCCTGGTCGACGAGATAATCCCCAAGCCTTTCAACGATCATATTGCACTGACCAGGAGTCATTGGTTCATCATAGATGCCAATGACTAGAGCCAGACCAGTCTTCTTAACAGTAACCCCACCTGGGCCCTAAAATCAAGAGATATATTGGTTTAAAATTCAATGGAAAGGAGAATCTAATTGCCAGATCAAAGGTAAATACACCAAGCAGTGTAAACATGATAACAAATTTTGCTGCAGAATCCAATACATAATGAATTTAGAAACTTTTAACACTGACCAATTAGAAAACTAATCTAGGATGAAGGTTCTCATATTCATTGCAACTTATAAAGTTAAGTTTAGAACACTTTCAGAATAAATTGCTTGCATGCCCATCATCTCTCAAAGTCAGAACTCAGAATTAATTATAGAACATTTTCATTGAATTTTTTATTACCTTCTTCCCACGAATAACAGCTCCAGGCTCCCCTTGGATTACCATATACTTTGAGCCACCAAGATACAAACCAGTTGGAGCAAGCGTCCCGGGCTCACTGAAGTCATTCATGATGGCAGCAATTTCTTCAGGCTTGAACTGCAAACCACAAAAGTAGGAACATGCATTGAGGACCTCATAAAGTGGACAGGAAACCAGGAAAGTTAGGACAAACATCCTTGACTTCTTCTAAGAATTCCATCAAATACACAATATGAAATCGATCATCAAGACGGTCTAAAGAGAAATCAGCACAGCATCTTGACCATTTCGTAACTAATACAGAAATAATTGAGAATAAAATCGAAATGCTCCGAAGTAAATCTAGAACCCTAGATGACGGTAATAGAAAACTCCAGATCTTTACTGCCTCGTACAATCGCTACATCTAAACAAAATGGAAACAACAACAGATTCTAATTTCAATCACATCTAACGAAACTGCATAGAATTACATCGACCAACCGATTTAAACCTTGAGACTCCCGAAGCCATGCATCGACATACAACAATCAGATCAAATCAGCCACGATTAAAAAAAAAAATCCATCATATTCATCATGCTCTGAACCACGAGATCTTGGATTAAAAATCCAGACAGATCCAGCCATCGATAACAAGCAGTCAATCAAATCAATACTCGGATTTCATATTTTCTGTAAAAGATTAGAAAGAGAGAGAGAGAGAGAGAGAGAGAGCGTAAACCTTGGGGAAAGTTTCGCTTTGGGCCCAAACGCTGCCGTCATGGCCGATAATGGCTGCAGATGAGAGGTGATTGCCCTCAATATCGCACATCAAATGATCGTCGACGTACACTTGCCACGACATCTTTCCCCGCTTGTTCTTCCTCCTCCTGCTTCTGGTTCAATCAGTTTAGGGTTTTTTCTCCTTCACTCTTTTCTGCGCTAAATCGATCGAGAGAAGATTCAATTTATGTCCACTGACGAAATGAGCTCCACCAAATAATCCTCTCTGCTCTTCTTACAGCGCGGTTTCGCCCGAGATAGCGTTGATGTCACGCAGTTATAATTATTTTTCCCAAAATAATTGCGATCTCCCATTCCAAAATTACCTAAATACCCCTCTTTTTTCTTTTTCTTTTTCTTCCAAATTGTATTTTGTGGGCCTTCAAGGCCCATGATGCTTGTTCCTCTCCTCTCTCTCTCTCTCTCTCTCTCTCTCTCTCTAAAATTCTTTTCTTAATTTTAAAATAATTGATAATATTCAAGCCAGCTCAATTTCGCATGTCGTATCCGAATATATGATTCTAATATTATGTTAAATATAAATTAAATAATGAAAAAGTAATTAATATCAAAATTTAATGGGATTTGAATATAAAATTAATGGGCTGTAATTTGCAACCCATCATTTTCTATAAAGGAAATTTTAAATTTTGCAAGGATATTCTTTTGTAGATTGTGATGCTACTTTCCAGAAATTATTTGGTCCAAATAAAAAAGAAAAAGAAAAGAAAAAAAAAAAGAGATCTCTTAAATTAAAGCAACAGACCATTCAAAAGAAACCTTTTTCAAAAGCAAGGAATCTCTACTATGAGGGCTTCTTTTCATAAATAGGAATTTGTTGAGGGACTTACCAATAATATCTTAGGTACGTTAAATTACAAATTTAACCCTAAATTTTAATAGAATTCCATGCCCAAAATCGTTGGATAATCTAAAATATTTTATAAGGGCACTGTTTTAAGATAGAGATTTAATCTTTATCTCATGAGTCAAGATAATTAAAAATAATAATAATCAAAGCATTTCATTTTCTGACCTGTCAAATCAAGAGCATAGACCATATCACCTGTATGCAATTTACTTGAATGTAAACAATCTCCAAAGATTAGGATATTAATTAAAGGAATAAATTAGAGAAATGATTGAGAAAAGAAGATTGAATACCCAAAAAAATATTAAGATATTTTATAAAAATTAATCAAAAGCCAAGCTCCAAACAACTGTTAATAATATCTTTGAGGAGGTTATTGTCTGCATTAACTTCTCTGCCAATTCGAGGCTCAAGAATGAAGCATATGCAAACTTGGAACCAAACAAACACAAAAAGAAACAAGGAAAAAGAATAATTGTAGGCCAAAATTTCGATACTTAGAAAGCCTACAGACCCTGATCGACGAGGTAATCGCCAAGCCTCTCAACGACCATGTTGCACTGTCCTGGAGTAACAGGTTCTTCATAAATGCCAAAAACTAGAGCTTGCCCAGTCTTCTTTATGGTAATTCCTCCAGACCCCTGTCACAACAATCCAACACAAGAGAATTTTAACGGACTTTAATCCATAGATTGATATACTCCACCATGTTTATCACAACATAGCTATCATTCTGATGATACAATCATAATAGAAATCATTTAATATGTAATGTGTTCAAGCCAAAAACTATGCTATAACTCATAACATTTGATATAAATGTGAAATCATAATGAGAATTTGAACCTCCAGCCTCAAGAAAATAGTTGGCAGCTATAAATTTCCAGGATCAAATGATATTTCTTTAGAAGAAAATCAATTGATCAAGTTTTAGCAATCACTTTTGACCATTTCAAAAGAGAACCTTATGGACAAATGAAACAGAGGAATAATCAATAATCCAAAAAACAGTTGAGATTTCTTTATGGTAATTCCTCCAGAGCCCTGTCACAACAATCCAACACAATAGAAATTTAACGGACTTTAATCCATAGATTGATATACTCCACCATGCTCATCACAACATAGCTATCATTCTCATGATACAATCATAATAGAAATCATTTAATATGTGATGTGTACAAACCAAAAACTATGCTAAACTCGTACCATTTGATATCATAATGAGAATTTGAACCTCTGGCCTCAAGAAAATAAGAGGCAGCAATAATTTTCCAAGATCAAAGGATATTTCTTTAGACGAAGATCAATTGATTAAGTTTTAGCAGTCACTTCTGAACATTTCAAAATTCGGTGTCTAATAGTTATTATTACTTGACGAAAGATCTTATTATGTTATTGAGTTATGTAATGTAAGTACTACCTTCTTTCCACGGATGACTGCTCCAGGCTCGCCTTGGATAACCATGTACTTTGTACCTGCAAGGTGTAATCCAGTAGGTGCAAGATAACCAGGTTCATCAAAATCCTTCATGATACCAGTGATCTCCTCAGGCTTGCACTACAATTAAGAATTCGTGATGAGAAACTCAACTAGAATCCTCTTGGAATCAACCTTTAGTTATTACACATGAATCAGAACCATTAATCCATCCCATAAATGAACTCAACGACAAAAGGAATCAATCAGAATCCTCTTGGAATCAACATTTAATGATTTAAATTAGAATACACATTGATAAAAACAATTATGACAACGATTCAACCATTTTCCACCCTATTAGTGACACAATTTCCATTACCAGAGAGAGAACAAGACTTGAATAGCTTAAGTTACCTCTCCATCAAAATTTAAGCTCTAGCTCTATCGAGCAACAACCAGATCATTACCACGAAACATCCAAAAATCAATCAATAGACAACCAGTCGAATAAACGGACAATACGAACAAATCAGCATTTACACATAACCAATGGCTAAACCTATCTTTCCTCAATACGATCAAATATCACGATACATATGAAAAACAAACAAACGCGTGTAATCCACATACGAAATGCCGAATTAACGCCCTAAACTGCACTAATGCTAAAACATCCAATCCACAAGTTGAAAACGAATACAAAACTTGAAAAATCAGATCCAAACCTGAGGAAATGAGGTGCTCTGAGCCCAGACGCTGCCATCGTGGCCTATAATGGCAGCGGCGGTGAGGTGCTGGCCTTGGCCATCAATGTCGCACATCAAATGGTCATCGACATATGTTTGCCACGACATTTTGATATGGAAATTGGATCGGTGATCGCGTTTGTTCTTCGCAGATTGCTGAGCTTTCTCTTGAAGTTCTTCCGGTAAAGGATGAGGCTCGGTTCGTTCTTTCGCCTTGTCTTCGACTAAAATGGAAATAAATAGGGCAGGAGAGAAAGGCGGGAATTAATTAATTATTTTTATTTTTTATTTTTTTTAATCGCATAATTATTTAGTTCCTATTCAAAAGGACCGATGAACCACATAGCTCCAACAGACCCGGTTTTAGGCCCTTCCAAATAGGAGAGTAGTTCCTTTTTCTTTTTTCCTTTTTAATTTTAAATTCAAATGAAAAGAAATAACATTATGGGCCGTGGGCTTTAAACCATGGGCCTCGTCTTACTATGCCAGCCCATTTACGTCTTTAAGTCCACCTTCAGTCTTTTTCTAGCTTTTGGGCCCAACCAGACAGGCTCGTGTTTAACGGTTTATAAGGGTGTGGAAACCTTCTCCTAGCAGACACGTTTTAAAGCCTTAAGGGGAAACCTGAAAGGAAAAGCCCAAAGAGGACAATATCTGCTAGTGGTGGATCTGGGTCGTTACAAAATAGTATCAGAGTCTGCTAGCGGTGGATCTAGGTCATTACAAAATGGTATCAGAGCCTGCTAGCGGTGGATCTGAGTCGTTACAAAGTGGTAACAGAGCCTGCTAGCGGTGGATCTGGGTCGTTACAAAATGGTATCAAAGCCAGACACCGGACGATGTGTCAGCCTTCTCGCTGTTCTCCAAAGGGGTAGATACAAGACGGTGTGCCAGTAAGGACGCTGGGCCTCAAAGTGAGGTGGATTTAGGGGCGGTCCCACATCGATTGGAGGACGCTAGGCCCCAAAGGGGGTGGATTGTGACCTCCCACATTGTTGGGGAGGAGAACAAACCAAAGCCTCGAGGGGAAGCCCAAAAGGAAAAGCCGAAAAAGGACTAGGTCATTACATTTAATATCCTTTCAGTAAACTCTAAAGTCAAATATTATCAATAAAGACTTTAAAATAAATATCTGTTTAGTTAATTGAGTATTCAAATATTAAGAATTACGTAATCAGTAAAAAAGGTAATAATTAGTTCATTAACAAAATTTAATTAATTAAAGATGGGTCCTACATGGTAGAAAAATAATTGGATAGGGCCCACGAAAGAGTGGATAAGAAGTAAAGGGTAAAAAAATAGTTAAATAATTAACTTCACCACGTGGCTCAATAATTCAGTCAAGTGACGTACTCCGTGACCCACGAGTTTGATCGCTTGGTAGGGAAGATATAATAAATAATTACTTTTTTTTAATTAAAAAAATCAAAACAATAATATTAAATTATAAATTTAGTCTCTAATTTATTAAATTTAAATTTAAATTTACAATTTTAGAAGTGGGAAACAGGCAAATTTCAAAATTTATGAATTTAAACTTTTTTTTTAAATAGATTATTAAGGCATACGTGGCCACCTACTATTGTTATTTAATTCAAGAATTTTTTTTAAAAATATTTTTTAATTAAAAAATTCAATTACCTAATATATTTAAATTCTAGAAAAATCTACCCAAAATTATTGTCACGTGATAAATGATATATATATATATATATATATGTATTGTCCAAAACAGGGAAGATTTATAGTAGCAATCATCTTAAATGATGAATGTTCAACAAAGGATTTTTGGAGCTAAAAATTATTTTTATTTTTTATTTTTTAAAAAGAAAAAGATAAGATATGATAACAATGAATGTGAGGTAGGTAGACAATTGCCATCGTCTGATCTCCATTATAAATCCACCCACTTCCTGCGACACCGTCCTCAACTTTCCGGCCATGGCTTCCCCGACCTCAATTCTCTCTCTTCTTCTTCTCGCCGCCGTCGTCTCCTCCGCCGAAGTCATCAGAATGTATCCGAGGGAACACTTGGTCAGGCTCGACAGTGACCCGGAATGCGAGAGTTGGAAGTTCTCCGTCGAAGTCAACGCCGCCGGATCATGGAGTTCTATTCCCCGACCGTGCGTTAGCTTTGTTCAGGACTACTTCAACACCGGCCGCTATCTCTCCGACTCCATCTCAGTGGCGTCTTACTCGGAGAACTTCGCTTTGTCGGTGAACGTTGCCGACGGCGACGGAATGGACGCTTGGGTTTTCGATGTCGATGAGACATTGCTTTCAAATTTGCCCTATTATAAAGATAATGGATTCGGGTAAATTCTAATTAAATAATTAAAAAAATATATTATAAACTTTCTAATTTATTTAAAAATATTCTCAACTTTAAATTTTTTAATAATATTTTAAACTTTTAAATATTTTTAAAAAATATCGCTACAATTAGTTTTAATTGGAATAGGTCGGAGCCATACAACGAAACTTCATTCAACGAGTGGGTGTATAAGGGCTTGGCACCTGTATTACCAGCCAGTTTGACACTTTATAAAAGGGTCAAAAAGCTTGGATTCAAGATTTTTATTTTAACCGGACGAGCTGAATTTCAAAGAGCTATCACGGAACAAAATCTCATTGATGCAGGCTATTCTGGCTGGGAGAAGCTCATCCTCAGGTATGATTTCCAAGCTTTTCGAGTTTTGAATCTCTCACTCCGTATATCGTTGAACTAAAAAAACATGTTACGAAAAGTAGAGACCAAATTCGAGCCAAATTTGAAAAAAAAAAAACATATTCTTAACCTAAAATTTATTTGGGTTATTATTATTTTTTAAAGACTTATTTAATTAAATTTTAATTTTCTTTATTCTATCACGAAATTAGAGGACATCAAGATGAAGGAAAGAAAGCTACATTGTACAAATCAGAGAAACGGGATGAATTAGTGAAACAAGGTTATAGAATCCAAGGTAACTCCGGAGATCAATGGAGTGATTTGATGGGGTTTGCCTTAGCAAAACGCTCGTTCAAGCTTCCAAATCCAATGTACTACGTTTCTTAGGTTCTGGGCAATAATAGCTCGCGTATTCTCTATCCTTATCAATAAATATGGCAGTTGAAGGATACACAGCCCTCCACTTCACAACGTAGGTTCTATAACTTAAGTGATTAAAAATTTAAATATATTAATAGAAATATAATTCGAATTTTTAACTATTTTATTTTTTTTAAAAAAGCTTTAAATTGTATTGATATATTCTTATATTTAAAAAATAATAATAATAATAATTATTATTATTATTTATATAAAAAAAATTAAAAGTAGATTATAGATTCTTGTCCACTGATATAAAATATTAAAATTAGCCGAGCATTCAGGTAAATCGTAACCGTTGGAAAATAAAGAAATTATTGGGTGAAAGTGGTTGGTGACTTTTTACCATTATAAAGCGGTAAATTTTTAAATCCAATTATTAATGTAAAGGAACAATGATTGAATAATTGGACTTCAAAACGAGCTCCAAAAGCTTCTTTAATCTTTATAAATCCACCCTCTTCCTCCATCTACCGCTCATCGAGTTTCCGGCCATGGCTTCTCCGACTTCAATTCTCTCTCTTCTTCTTCTTGTTACCGCCGCCGTCTCCTCCGCTGCAGCCGTCAGAATATATCCGAGAGAGCACGTGGTCCGGGCAGAGGGCGACCCGAGATGCGAGAGCTGGAAATTCGCGGTGGAAGTGAACGCCGCGGGATCGTGGAAGACTGTTCCGCGGCCGTGCATTGAGTTCGTCCGGGAGTACTTCAACGGCCACCGCTATCTGTCGGACTCGCGAGCCGTGGCGAATTACTCGTTGACCTTTGCTTATTCAGTCAAACTCGGGAAGGACCATGGGAGGGACGCTTGGGTTTTTGATGTGGATGAAACGCTGCTCTCCAATTTGCCGTATTATAGAGCTAATGGATTCGGGTAAATTCAGCGTTTTTTTCGGTCATATTTAATTTTTTTTAAATATATATTTAGTTTAAGGTCACCGAAATATTTTTAAATTCAAGCTAAAAAATTAAAAAAAAATGTATAATTACATTAAAATTTTTTTTTAAAAAAATTGATATTAGGAAGACTTATTTCTCCATTTTGAAAAAAAATAAAAAATAAAAGTATTATTTTTTTTATTTTGGAGTTTATAAGAAAATGCATATATAAATATTAAAAGGATCATAAATAATTTAATAATTTATTTTAATAAAGTTTTCATATTTTTATATAAATAAAAAATATATTTAAATATTGTGGGGGTATGGGCTCTGTATATTCACATGGTTATTTGAGTATGTCTGTAAATAGGTTGCTAGGCTGTGCTTTGTTTGTCTCCTAATAATAATATATAGGAAATATTTGAAATGCTTTTTGTAATTTAATAAATATTTAAATATAATAAATGAAAATAAAATTTTAAAGATTTTTAAAAATAAGGATCAAGCTATTTGTATGAAATTGTGTAGGTCTAAACCGTTCAATGATACTTCGTTCAACGAGTGGGTGAACACGGGTTCGGCTCCTCCGTTGCCAATGAGTTTGAGACTGTACAAAAAGCTAAAAAGTCTCGGGTTCAAAATTTTTCTTTTAACCGGGCGTGGTGAATCTCAAAGAGTTGTCACGCAGAAAAACCTTCTCCGAGCGGGTTATTCTGGTTGGGAGAAACTTATCTTAAGGTATGAGTGATTTTAAAATATCTTCTACCCACGAGGATGGTTTAATTAAACTTTTGTTCTAGGGGAACTGATGATGAAGGAAAGAAAGCTACGGTATACAAATCTGAGAAGAGAGCTGAATTAGTGAAACAAGGTTACATTATCCAAGGAAACTCGGGAGATCAGTGGAGTGATTTGATGGGGTTTGCTCTTGCGAAACGATCGTTCAAGCTTCCAAATTCAATGTACTACATTCCTTAGTCATTACAAATAATTTAGTTCATTGTCGAGGATGTATTAGTTTTCAGTTGTGTTTAATCGAACTTTTCGATGTTATTGAATTGTCCATGTATCGATTATTCATTCTCGAAAGAATTTAGCTCGATTAGCGAAGTAATTTAATGGGGTTTGCTCGGGCTAAACGATACTTCTAACTTTAATAAATAATACATAACTTTTATAAATAATGCATTTTATTAAGAAATGTGTACTATTTTTGTAAGGCCCACTTGTAAGGCCCATTTAAGA